CCAGGCGGTTGGGGGGCGGGAGGTTCTGAAAATCCACCTGGGTCTGTTTGCACTGCCAGCTCTGAGAAGAGACTAGAGCCCCACGCCTGACCCCCAAGAGGCACAGAGGCACAGGGTGGGGAGGAGATCAGAGCGAGGGGGCTTCTGCTCGCCAAGCAGCAGCCGAGTTAAAGGAGCTCGAACTGAATGCAATTAAATGGCGACAATGAATGGATCTGGGTGATGTCTAGGCGTGGACTGGACTGAGTTAAACCTGCATGAACAGAGCTGTGCTGAAGGGGACGGGGACTCATACAAGACTGTGGCTGAGTCCTGGGGGCCGGGAACACTCAGCTGCTACCTGAGTGTGGGGCAGTCCGCCTCCACCCAAAAATGACTTGAACTAAAGGCCTGGTGATCTACTGTGGCAAAATTGGCCACTGAAAACCCTGAGGGGGGTCACTGTGATCAGAGCCCATGCAAGGGCAACTGCTCCGTGGGTTGGTTGACTGTCTGGTTGGTTGGTTGGTGAGTTGGTTGGTTGGCTGGCATATTAGTTGGTTGATTGGTTGGTTGGCTAGCTGGCTGGCTTAATGGTTGCTTGCTTAGTTGGCTAAATGGTTAGTTGGCTGGTTGGTAGGTTGGTTAGCTGGTTAGTTGGTTGGTTGGCTAACTGGTTAGTTGGTTGGCTGGTTGGTTGGTTGGTTAGCTGGCTGGTTGGCTGGCTGGCTGCTTGGTTGGTTGGTTTGTTGGGATGGGTGGTTAGTTTGTTGGCTAGCTGGCTTGTTGGTTGCTTGGCTGGGTGGTTGGTTGGTTGATTGGCTAGCTGACTGGATGGTTGGTTTGTTGATTAGTAGTTGATTTGGTTGGCTGGTTGTTTAGTTGGTTGATTGGTTGGTTGTCTAGCTTGTTGGTTGGTTGCTTGGTTGATTAGTTGGTAGGTTGGCTGGCTGGTTGGTTGGTTGGTTGGCTGTCTGTCTGGATTGTTTGTTTGTTGATGAATTGGGTGATTGCCTGGTGTCCTGATAGAGAACCCTGGGTGCTGCAAACAGTTGCTGTGCTGGCTGCTACCTGAATGGTGGGTGGTTCAAAGCCACCCAGAGGCTCCTCAGAAGAAAGCTCTGGTGATCTTCTTCTGACATGGGGGCCATGAAAAACCCCAGGGAGAAAGTTCATTTTTAATGTGTGTGAGAGACCACGTCATGAGCCAGATGTTTCAGAACAGACTCAGGGCAGGAGTTCTGTCCAGTTAGTGGCTGAGCGTTTGAACAACTGCACACACCTGGGCTCCTTCTCTGGGGCACAGAACCCCCACCCCTCCTTTTTTTTCTTAATGAAGCAAGTGGTAATAACAAGTCCTTGGCACAGATATTATGAGAAGGGGGTGTGATCACACATGTAACAGGACCTTGTACCTCAAAAGACTAAAGTTAAGAAAAATAACTGCAAACAAAGTTTGAACTCTAGCTGGTGACACGGGTGCGGCAGTTCTGGGCGGTGTGAGCTGGCACGTGCGGCTCACACTTTGGAATGGTTTTAAAAAGAAGTAGGTGGATGGGTGGTTAGAAATTTCCCCTAAGAGAAAACCAAAAAGCAGAAACCTATTGCCATCAAGTCGAATCTGCCTCATGTAGACTAGACTCCTTCTGAGACTGTAAGTCTTTAAGCACGTGGTCTCATCTTTCTCTCTCGGCAGGGCTGGTGGGTTCAAACTGTCAGCCCTGTGGTTACCATCCCAATGCCTAACCCACAGTATTACCAGGGCTCCTTAGAAACAGCTAGCGGGATCCAAAAACCCAAACCAAACCCACTGCCAATCAAGCCGATTCCACCCCCTACCACAACCCTGTGGCAAAGTGGGTTGTGGGCTGCTTGGGCTGCTAACCTCAGGGTCAGCAGTTCAAAACCACCAGCCACTCCTCGGGATAAACACGAGGCTTTCTCTTCCCGTCAGGTGTTAAGGTCTCAGAAACCCACAGGGATAGCTCTATTTAGTCCAGTTGGGTGGCTATGATTAAAAGTCAACTCGATGACAGCGAATTTGAGGGTTTTTTTGTTTTTGTATGGGACAGAGTAGAACGGCTCCATGCAAGACTGTAAATCTTTCCAGAAACTGACTGCCTCTCCTTTCTCTCAGGGAGCAGATGGTGGGTTTGAACTACTAACCTTTCTATTAGTGGTGGTGCACTTAACCACTGTGCCGCCAGGGTGCTCAACACAGAATACCCTGGGGGGAGGGGGGAGGGCTTCTCTGTCGTACTGGGTCCTACTCTGACTCAATGACAATGACTTTGGTTTTGCCTTGACCCCAAACCAAGCCCTCTGCCACCAGCTCGACTCAGAGCAACCACACAGCGCAGGGCAGAGCTGCCCGTGTGTGTTTCTGAGGCTGTGCCCCTTCACCCGCGCAGACAGCCTCATCTTTCCCACTAGGAGTGGCTGGGGGGTTCGAGCGGCTGATCTTGTGGAGAGCAGCTCCATTTGTCGCTCACTACAGCAGCAGGGCTCCTTACCCCAACTCAGAGCAACCCTGTGCAGCGGTTCTCAAACCTGTGGGTCGCCACCCCTTTGGGGGTCAAATGACCCTTTCACAGGGGTCGCCCGATTCATCGCAGTAGCAAAATGGCAGGGATGAAGTAGCAACGAAAATAATTTTATGGTGAGGAGGGGGGTTGTCACCATAACATGAGGCACTGCATGAAAGGGTCGCCGCAGTAGGAAGGTTGAGAACCACTGCCAGGCTTTCCGAAGCCATACAAGTCAACAAGACTCATCTTTCTCCCACGCCATGGTTGGGGGGGTTTGCAACGGCCACCTGGCGGCTAACAGCTCAGCGCATAACCCACAGCGCTACCAGCACAAACCGACTCTGCTGCCAGGGGACCCTTAAAAGTGAGCCTTGTGCGTGGGGGAACCTGGGCGGTGGGATCTATGGATGCACGCTTCAAAATTCTGGTATTCCGCGTCTTTTCGGGATTGATAACGAGAGAACATCTGTGCCCATAGTTAAGAACCTTGATGGGCTGGGAAATGGCTTGTCCTGCCCGTGGTCGTTAAAAATACAGCCTCTGGGGGCGAACGGCGAGAAATTGGAACCTGACTGGCTGTCGGGAAGGGAGCAGATGGCTTCGTGTCTCGGGGAGTGTTTGTTTCCCTCTCTGTGAAATGGGGCTATTAATAGTGATTTACCTCACCTCGGCCTCCTTGAGCAAGTATCACAACACAACCTAGCCCACAATCCGCCCGCGGGAAACATGAGCTAATCATTCGGCCCTCAAAACAAACAGAGAGGTTGGGCAAGCCGCCTGACGTCACACAGCAAGAAAGTGGCACAGCGAGCCCAGCCGACAGGTCCCTGGAATTTTAAAGAGCACCCCCACCCTACACACACCTCTCCAGACCATAAATGTTTCTCTGAAGCTTACCCGAGAGGATGAAGAAGATGCCAGAAACGAAGGCCAGAATGGTCCTCTGTGGGCGGATGTGACCGATGTTGCTGATGACGAAGGCGGTGAAGACCAGGAAGAGGCTGACCATGGGAAAGGGGGTGGCGGTGCGTACCGTCTCTGCAGGATGGGGTGGAGGGGCAGCGGGTGAGGTGGGGTGCTCCAGTGGGCACCTTGTCCCACCAACTCCTCCCCTTTTACCAGGTAAGACCCCCTCTGCTGATCCCACTCTTCCACCAGGCCAAGGTAACTTCACTAGGCCACACCCCTTTCCTCCTGACTCCGCCACTGCCCAACCCCACCTCCTCACCCACTGACCACTTCAACCCTCCCCTCCTGCCCTCTGACTCCACCCCTTCCCCCAGTGACTCCAGCCACCACTCCAGGCCCCAACTTCTTTAAATGCTCTGCTGTTCCTTTGACTCCACCTCCTTCCCTAGCCCCACCCTTTCAGCCGAGCTCCACCTCCTTTCAACCCACCACTCCTGCCCATTGGCTCCACTTTTCCCCACTGGCTCCACCCACCACCCAGACCCCACCTCCTTTCAACCCACCACTCCTGCCCTCTGACTCCACCCCTGTCCCTATGGACTCCACCCCTCCTCTAGCCCCGCCCCTCTCCAGCCCCTTTGGAACCCAGGCCTCCCGCTCGCTTCCCCTCACTCAGAATATTCTCTGTGTTTTCCGTCACTAAATTGATCTCCGGTTCAAGGAAATATTCCGAGGCCACGCAGCGACCCTTCTCTCGACCTAGGAGGAAGAGAAGAGGCAAGGCTAGTGAGAGACTCCTCACCCGCGGGGCGCTGTCAGAGGCAGGGCTGACTGTGCGGAGACACCAGGATGAGGGTGGGCTGCAGAACCCAAAGATTGGGGGTGAGGGAATGGGCAGGGGACCAAGAACCCCTCTTGAGAGCTGCCTTAGTCTTTGGGCAACCGACAGGCTTGGTACTCAAGAGTGCTGAGCCAGAGGGGTACAGTGGGCCAGGAGTCCTGATTCCTTACAGACTAGGGTGAAGTCTGGGGTCCTGTGTTCTTAGAACGTGGGGTCTTGGCGACGACCAAACCCCAAACCAGATCAGCTGCCTGTGTCAGTTCCAACCCATGGTGACCCCCACGTGGGGAGAGTGGATCCATGGGGTTTCACATTCAGGGCCATCACCTTTACTGGAAGATCACCAGCCCTTTCTTCCGAAGTGCCGCCCCCCACCCCCTGAACTCAAACTTCCCACCCCTCCAATCCCTGGTTAACAGCTGGGACGCTTCTTAGGTGGTCACCCGGAGGCATGGCTTAGGATCCCTGATGGCACCGTGGGCTAAGCAAGCGCTGGGCTGCTGACCAATATGTCAGCGGTTCGAACCTATTCCCCCCACCCCATAGGAGACCGCTGTGGCTGTCTGCTGCCATACAGACAGCCTGCCTCGGAAACCCTGTGGGGCCAGTTCTGCTCTGTCCAGTAGGGTTGCTAAGCATCAGAGCCACCGCGAGGGCACAGGGGGTGGAGGTGGGTGGGCTGCACGGAGTCTTTCTTCCTGCCAGGCAAGGAGGTTTGAGTCCGCTGGATCTAAGGAAAGATGATGGGGTTCCCCCCGGGAGGCAGCCATGAGGGGGCTGGAGATATACGTGAGATATGTATTTATGAAGGAGCCCTGGTGGTGGAGTGGTTAAGCATTGGGCTGCGATCCCCGTGGTCAGCAGTTTGAAACCACACATCGTAACCCTACACATCGTAACCCTATTTCTAGCAGAAGGAAACACTGCCGGGTCCTGTGTCAGCCTCACTGTGGTTGTTGATGGTTGCAGCAACGGTGTCCATCCATCCATCTCCTGGAGGGTCCTCCTCTTTGTGGCTGCCCCTCTAGTCTACTCGGGGCTCCTAGGTGCAGGGAGTAAGTGGGTAGACATCTGGGTTGGGAAGGGGGGGGTGGTGTTGGGAGTTGTGTCAGCCACGGAGATGCCAGCTCCTGAGTCTGAATGCCCCCGAGAGAACACAGAGAATCGCCAGGGGTGGGGGGTACGGGTGTCTCTGGACCCAGCAGATTGTGGATTGTGGGTCAGGGCGCTCTCTTGGGGCGCAGGTGAGGCAGGACAGGTGAGATCTGTACCTGCGAAGAAGCAGACCCTCCAGAGGCCGGCGTGCAGCGCCATCTTGACCTCGGTGGTCTGGTTCTGCGGCGACACGGTGCCCTCCTCCATGTACAGCCAGTAGTCGGTGCTGACCGCGATGCCGACCAGGAGCAGGCCGCATGCGCCAAACACGCTGCTCAGCAGGGTCAGGGCGCGGCTGCTACAGTGACTCATCCTCAGTGGCGGGGGGCGCCCTGCGGGGCCTGGTGGGGAGCAGAAGCTGTGGTGGAAAACCCAAGTGGGCCCCTCCCTCCCCCAGCTCCATGCAGCCCACCTGGGTCATGGGACCACCGCTCAACAATCCAACCCCAAAATGATGACCCCAGGGGACTGTATGCATCAGGTCACCTGAGCCACTGCACGGACCTCACCTCTAGACCCTGGCCGAAAGCTTTAAACTCTAGAACAATGCGGGGAGTGGGGGAGGGGAGTGTCACTACACCTTGACCTTTGACCTCTGCCTTCTGGTCCAGAAAGCCAGACCAGGACTCACAAGAAGCTCCACCAATGACCAATGGCGACAGCTGACCCAAAACCTCATCACTGGGCTTCCCAACCCTGGCACCTGTTCTCTCAGTCTGGACTCCCCAGAGATGCCAGGCACAGAGACCACCCTGGCCCCACCCTACCCCCACCTCACCCTCCTATTCCCAAGATAAAATTTCCACCCATGTTCCTGGCACCAAATCCAGAACTTAGAACCTTGATTCCAGCCGTGTGTCTGGACCAGAACCCCAGACAGTATCATTACTCTGGCCAGAAACTCTACTTCCAGAGTCAAACCCTCAAAACCAGGTCCCTGAACTTAAACCACATGCCCTGGCCTGAGACTCAACCTTGGACACCAGATGCATACACACACACACACACACACACTGAGCATCCTCGATCTTGAACCTGGGCCCATGACCAAAGAACCCTTAGTTTGATTGTCGGCTTCAACTCCAGGGCCAGGCACCCTCCAACCCCAACTGGTGTCTTGATCCAAGACCCCAACCTTGAATGCTGGACCAGCGAGGGAGGGCCCTTCAATTCAGCTCTGAGCCCTGACATGGAACCCTGGATGCCCATGGGTCTGGGGTCTTGAACCTTGAAAGCTGAACTCCTTGATTTGTCTAGAAACTCAAGCTCCCCATCTGGACTCCACGCTTGCAACGGAGACCACAGCGCCCCTTTCCAGTGGACTCTATCCCTGGGCTGAAGACACTGGCCAGAAGCCTCAAACTGGGTCACAGGCCAAGAATCCCTCACTGAGTGGCCTGCTCCCAGAATGCATAACCACACACCTACCAGAGACTTCCAGCCAAGCTCCCTTCCCAAGTTAAACTCGTGAACTCTTATCTTCACCCTTAGAACCCAATTCTGACATTGACCCCATGACCTTCCAACTCTGAACCTGTCCCTTGACCTCAGCTTGGGACACCAACCCGAGGTCATAGCCCACACTCAAGAGCCAAGGTGCCAGAACCTCAACTTGCAACCTTAGATGCCCTGCCCACCCCACCCCCATCCCTATCCGGTCAGGCTTCTCACCCTAAATCAGTGTCAGCCAGAAACCTAGATTCAGAATCTCGACTAAAACATTCCAGAAGGCTGAGACCACGACCTCACACCACCCCAACCCAGCACCCCAAATAGAGCATACCAGCCATACAGGGGAACCCCCCACGCCCCTCCCCAAGTCTCCCTCAAACCAAGAACCGGCTGCTCTGCTGGCTAGAACACCAGTTAAGAAATGCAGAGTGCACATCTGCCACAATTGTTCCCTACATGCCCCCCCCAGAGATTTGGGGCTTCTGATTACAGTCTGGAGCCCCACCCCACCCCCAACCGTGGGCCCTTCCATCACATGTGGGCAGATGTAACCTCCCAAGTCCCATGTCAGGAACCCAGAGACTCTCACTTGGAGGTGAGGTGGGGAACCGTCAATCCCCGCCCTCCAGGACTCCAAATCGCTTATCCACAACTTTCACCTCCCACCCAAGAACTTTCGCCCAAACCACATAATCCCGTGATTTTTCGGGGGGGGGGGCGGAACGGGGACTCACCGGGGGCTTAAGTGTTGGGCACCTAACCACAAAGTCAGAAGCTCAAGATCACCAGCCGATCGCGGAGAAACAAGAGGCTGTCCATTCCCGTAAAGAGTTAACAGTTTCAGAGACCCGCGAGGGCAGGTCTACCCTGCCCTGTTAGGGTCGCTGTGAGTCGGAATTGATTCAATGGCTGCCAGTTTGAGTTGAGTTTGAACTGGAGACTAACTAGATCAGACCCGCACCCCCCGCCCACCATCCTTAGAACAGCTATCAAATGTCCTATCTCTCACCACTCCCTGATAATCAAGCCAGGTGATCCCACCACCGTTAGCCAGAATTCCCATAGCCCTGAAACTCTGCTCCGGAGTCCCTTTGGAGCCCGATCGCCTGAGGTCGCTCCTGTCTCATCCCAGCATCCGCCCAACCCCCTGCCCCTCAGCCTTCTGGAGGACGCGGGGACCCAGCCCGGCGGAGACGCCAGCTTTCCCTCCCCTCCCCCCACGGAGCGGGTCCAACCCTGGGCGGTCAGCTGCCAGCTCCCCTCCAAGTCCGCTCAGCTAAGAAACAAGCCCCCTCACGCTCTCGTCACCTGACTCCCTTAGTGCCAGGTAATCGGCCTCAGCGACCCTGATTTGGCCCTCGGACACCCCCTCCACCCCCACCCCCCACTCCCGCCGCCTTGGCCTCCCCGCGCCAGCCTGGGACCCTCGCCTTTCTTGCCCGCCTTCCTCACTCGAAGCGCCCTCCTGAGACCTCCTTGTATTTCACCCCTCCCGTAAGGGATCCGCAGCCCTGCCTCCTTGGAGACCCTCTCCTCAGGCCCCGGGAGGGGGGGGGGGGTCCTCTTTTCCTTTAAATTCCAGCATCTCCTCGATTCGGGCATTCTGTGCCCGACTCCCACCCCATCCCAGAGTCTTCAAGCCCCAAGTCCCAACTCCATCGCCCTCCAATTCCTCCGGAGTTGTAACTCCTGCATTCTGGGGACCTGTCCATGCGGAGCCTAAGCCCACCCCCTTATTCGGGGATACCCTGTACCGCCTCCCAGAAAGGCCCAGGCCTGCACCTTCCCGGGTGAGTGTGAAGCACAGACCTCAGGGATGTAGTTATCTGACTCTGGGGTCCCCCCCACCCAGCCCCCTTCAGGAATCCCTAGGCCCCAATGCCTCTCCATCGCCCCATATACCTCCTGAACTCTGGCCCCCGATATCCGGAACCTCTCTTCCCGCGCCACTCCTGTCTCCCTGGATCCCCAACCCCGGCTCAGCCCAACCTCCTGGGACACCCCCTTGCACCCAGACCCTCCCCGGGGGGCGCTCACCTCTCTCAGGG